ATTTTTGCCCAGGTTACTATTCACAGCCTCGGCGACGTCAAAACCTTGTTTTGACTTTTCTCTTCCATCCGGACTCTGAATCAAGTGATTCTTGAATCTAACTTGATTAATTTTTCACTGTCTTCCCAGTGGCGTGTTCGGTAGCACCCGATTTTATTTTTTTAGAAATGACCATTTTGCCCTTGGGGCTATTTTTGTCTGGTTTTCTTGTAATTTGCTTTCGCTACTTTCTTTTGAATTCTGTGACTTTACGGGAAGTCACGGATGTGTCTCGAGAATAATTTACATTCTAGGGACGTCATTTCTATGCAAAATGACTATTTTACCCCTATGGGCTTATTTGTTATATTTTTGACCTTTTGCTTCCGCATCAGTTCTCATTGAGTTCCACGACCTCATGGAAGGTTACTTTGACTTCTTAGAGTCTTGTTTTCCGTTTTCGCTTTCACATATGGGATTCGTTATTGGGTCAATCTTCGATTCATCATAGGACACGCTAGCCTAAAAACCAAGGTTGTCACATTCTTTACATTTTCATACCTATATAAGGATTTTGAGCCACTTTTACACATATACTTGATAACATATCATATTGAAGAGAATCAATCTTAGAGATTAAGAAAGGAGAGGATGAGAGGCTAGAGACTAGAGACATACCATTTGGGAGTTCTTTCATTCATCTAGGGTTTCCACCAAGAAGGAGATTATCCTTACCGTAGAGATAGCCCTTGAGGGTTGGAGGACTATATCAATGAGTGTGTAAACATCTTCTTGGGGCTAGAGTTAGCCCTAAGCATGGATTCTAGACCTTGATGTTTTGTATTTTTTAGGGGATTTGTGTTATAATTCTTATCTTGACACTTGATTTATCTATGAATCTTGTTTATTCAATGATTTGTGTGGTTTAATACTTCCAATTGATCAATTCATTCTATTCATATGTCTATGTATGCTAAAATAGATGTTCATGTGTTTATCTTTAGTTTTTGGGTTGTTGATGCATATCTATGTGTGTTGATGCTATGAATCTAGAGATTGTCAAGGCATGGTACTTAATAGAATACTCTTGTGGTTTATTTGATGGTTCATACTCATTTCTTAATGGATTGTGCCTTTCCCTTAGTTTAATTAGTTTAATTTTCATGTCCTTAACTTAGTTGTAGTGTAGTTGCCTTAATTTCTTAGATGGGAAGACAATCCATGCTTGTTGTTTGATGTTCCATGCTTATGAATACAAGTAGTATATTTCTCTAACCATATGATGTGTTTAGATTATGAGCTTGAAGGAAGGAATAATGGCTTAATTTGATATATTATGCTATTCACCGTGTTGCTTAGACAATACTCCCTCTGTCCCAAAAAAGATGTCATGCTTTCCTTTTTGGTTTATCCCAAAATAGTTGTCCACTTTCCTTTTTCAAACAATATATTTTACATCTTTCCATTTATGTCCTTGGAGTTTAAAATTTCAAACTTGAATATAAGGGCAAATTAGTAACTTTCTAAGGAGACAAGGCATGTCCCACATGTTCCCTTAAAAATTCATACTCCCTGGGTTGGTTTATCTGGGGCTCTATTCTGTCGATGCATTACAAGCTCAATTTAATATATGTTGAAGAACTTATCATGATCATTACATATATTCCTTCAAAACCTAATTTAAATCATGGAAACATATGAATAAAAATTAATTAAATTAATTTATAAATTCCTCTAGATTTCAAAACAACCTAAAATGATTTCAAATTAACATAAGTTATAAATCAAGTCATGGCCTTTCCTAAAATCATGTCTTAGCTTAATTTCATGCAAGGTACCATTAATTATTATCTTCAAATTTTAAATCAAAGACATGTAATACATATGAATCATGTTATAAAACATATAAAAGATTAAAGAACATAACTTAGAACACCCCCTACCTCAGAAAGAGGATTGTTCCTCTTGAATCTAAGGAAAGTAAAGGAATTCCAAGTTTTCCTTCTAGGGTTATGAAAAGGAAGATGAGGCAAGGCTTTTGTATTCCAAGCTCAAGGATCTAAAGTGAGTGGAAGGAGGTTAAAAATGAAGTTAAAGCCTTAAACCAAGCTTTGTCTTCAATGGTGGCTAGGTTAGGGTTCTTGAGAGGAAAAAGATTAATGAAATAAAAATATAAACCCTAAACTAAATGTGGTGGGATTCTCCACTCACTAGGTGCTCTTGCACTACTTCTCACACATACACAATGCAAGACTAAATTAGGTGCCTACACTTGTCATTAATCCATGGTTCCTTCCTAGGCTTAATCCTAAGCCTACACTTGTCACTAATACTTGTCTCTTTCCTAGGCTTAATCCTAAGCTTACACTTGTCAACCATCCAAGCCAACAAGTGCTCATATCCTAGGCTAACAAGTAGGTGAATTTTCACTCTCCACGTGTCATCGTCCAAGTCATCAAAGTATCTCTACACAAAAGTCAACAAGTGGACCAATGAGAGTGTGACACTTGTCACATTTTTTCGAAAATTGCTAAAAGAACCTTCTCCAAAATATTTTCCAAATTAAATTACAAAATGGTCCTTAAGAAGAAAAATAATTACTTTATTTAATTACACTAAACCCCTCAAGTTATGAATATTACCAAAAGGCCATGCATCCATGCCCTTTATAAGAAAAGTAAACATTTAACACGCTTTTCTACAAAAGTAAAAATAAATATATTATGGAATTTAAATATCATGGATGTATGCAAAGCTGAAATCAAATCCGAGCACAAAAAGTGAAGTTATGCATGGAAAAATGGAAACCGAGAAAAAGACGAAAAAAGAAATTCGCCGAAAAAGAAAAAAAAAAAATGACCGGGTCATTACAATTTTTCATTTTTTTGATTGATTAATGATGGAAAATAAAGAAAAAGATAATAATTATATGAAAGAAAACTATTTTAACTAAAAAAACAAATTTATAGGTTAATTAAACATGAATTATTATGCCACAACATATTTGAACCCAAATCAAAGGGGACACTAAATAATACTCCCATTCACTTATTGAATTATACTATAAACCATCATTACTCACACAAGAAGAGTGTAATAAGCTATGTTTATAAATAGTTATGTGTTGATATACGTGTCATGATGTCTGTTCGAGTTGCACCATCTCTGAAAATAAGCACACCTGACCAATACTTATCTGGCGTGCTCTTGAAAGGACCGAGAATCCTCGAGTTACTTGTCCTATAACTGAATTTACTGACCGAGGAAAGCACCCCTTCTTCTCCTGTGGATGCGCCCCGCTCTAGTCGGATGGGCCCCTCCTCCCTTCTTTTCCGAGGTTGCTTCCTGCAGGCGTAAGCTCGGGTAATTTTTTTATTCTCGAGCTCCTTTTTAACTGTAGGGACATCAAGGTGCAGATCCAAAATAGAGCCCGCAGGGCTGAGAAGGCGGAACCCCGAGGAAGGCTTTTTCCCTATCTTCAGTTGTGGGAATCTGAGTATCAGTGGTTAGGTGGCTGAGTTCCAAGGAATCGCCTCAGTTTGAGGTCTACACAAGGGGGAGAGAATGTTAAATACCCAATAACTAAGCTCGAGTAATAGAGACCTCATAATACATTAAATATATCTCATTGAGTTACCATTGGATAAAGAGGCTCGAGTAATAGAGACCTTATAATACATTAAATATATCTCATAAAGTTACCATTGGATAAAGAGACAAAGAGACAGTTAGCTCTCATGACCAAGGGTTCTTACTTAAGTAAAGCGATTATTGGATAAAGAGGGAGTTAGCTCTTATGACCAATGGTTCTTACCTAAAAAAACTTCAAAAGTTCATTACGAAGTGGATGCGCAGCAGAACGAAGCTCTTAGCTTCTTTCCATACTTCTTTCCATTTACATTTTTTTGTATTTGTAGTGTGCAAATAAAATATTAACGATTTAGGTAATTATGTGGCAGAGTATCACTACTCAAGATATTATTATTAATATTGATAATATTTGGATTTAGAAATAGAATTTACCGTGTTTGGAATCATCAGATTGTGAATGGGATTTTAAAGTTATAGGATGTCAAATCCTTTTTTTGATGTGTTTCAAATCCGTCAATTTATCGTAATCGAAAATCAACTCGTATCAACCAATCGAATTTGCTGAATAAGTAAAGGTAGTATTAATTATATAAATTCTAATAATCGTTGATTAATTTAGCATGTCTGCTACGTAAGATATAATCGTGCTTGCAAAAATGTAGGAAATTAAAGTATCTTGGTGTTCTCTTTCATAAGTCAATCCAGAAGTAAACTAATTAAAAGAATTCTGATAAATCATTGATTCGTCTGGTATCGAAATATATGATTCGTTTATAAGTTTACTAGAAAACGACATAATTTGACGGGATTTGGAAGATAAATATGATATTATCTTAATTAACCTTGTACAATATCTACTTAACCTATTTCAATCTCCAACCGTCTTCTTCTCATTTAACCCTATCCTATTAAATATATACTAGCATATCTCTATCTCCAACGTTATTTAACTAATTCCATACTACTCTCTCATATAACTGTTCACCAACGTTATTTTACATTTTAGTGATTTTTTTTTTTTTAAAGTATGTTGGTGATGTTTAATAATTAGTTTTTTAATTAAAAAATAATTGCTCCTTTTTTACGTGATATGTTAAATAAGTAAATTTTATATTTCAATTGTATCATGTATTCCTGGTCTTTGTTTGTGTATTTGATGTAACTTTAGAACATATTTGACAATAAAATAAATATTTTATTTATCATTTATAAACAAGAGCAAAAATGGTATAATATTATTTTTATTCCAAATCACCTTTTAAATCAACTTTAAATTCAATTGGTTCCAAACATAGAAATAAAATTTCATTTTAATTCCAATTCCTGTTCTAATACCGATTCTTTTTTCAAATCCTAAAATAATTGATTTACCGAAAAATTTTCTACCAAACTAGGAAACTTAATTGTGAAACCGGGCTTTTATTTATTTAGAAGCCCATGTAGAGGGTGCAGCCGCAAACCCTAAAAAAGAGTTATAAAATGTGTCTCGCGCAATCGCAAAGTAGCGGATTTGGGGTTTCTGTAAGGAGCTGGAGTACCGAAGGAGAGAAGGGTTCTTGAAGCCGCCACGGATTTCAACGGTATGCTTCTTCTTTTTCGCAATCCACCGGTGTTTCTCTCTGTTTTTTATTTTTATTTTTTTATTTTTTATTTTCTTTTTCTTTGTCTTCTCTCCTCTTGTGCCTTTTTTTTTTTTGGTGTGGATCAGCAATAAACAGATATTTTTATTGAGAAAAAAAGATCTAAACAATTTCAGTTTTTTCTCTGTTAAGGATCTTTGTCTGACCTTTTTATTTATTTTACTGGGTGGGATGGGGTTTGATTTAATTTTTTGTTTTTTTGCATCAACAACCATCAATCTATACATACTTTACACATATAGATATTAGATATATGAATAGTATTAGATATATGAATATATGTACACATTATACAAACACTTCTATAAAGAAAGATCTCGATGTTGAAAGATGTTTTCGAAATTTTTAATTACTGTGTGTTTATAGTTTATTTATTTATTGTTAAATTGAAGAATTTACTTGATAGGATTATATATATATATATATATAATTCTTTTTGTATTTTTGTTTTGCTTTTTGTTTTTATTAGAATTGCAGAAAAGATAAAAGATAAAAGATGAAGATGTCGTATAACAAGGGCTGTGCAAATCCTAAGCCTGAGAAATTTGTTTGGCAAGAATGCACAAAGGGATGTGCAATTCCTGAGCTTGAAAATTTTGTTTGCCAATGCACGGAGGGGCATTGTTTTTACTGCAAGCAATTATATGCGAATCTAATTCAGAAAAATGAACAAAAATATCTTGAAAACAAGAATAAATTCAACCAATGCGCAGTGGCCTTTTCTGCAAGTCTCAAGTCGTTGGAGAATACAATGAAGCGATTAAGGGAGGACAGCCTTGAACAGGGCACAACCAAATCAAGCAATTGCAACATCAATTCAGGTTACGACAGTTGGAGGTAGTTAATATCGCAAAGGAAGTGAGAATGAGGTTTTTGAGGGACGGAATTGACTTGCCGGAGTGGGTGAATGGGATTGCTGACAACAGAGTGAAGCTTGAAGGAGAGCAAGTGAGTGGGATTGCTGACAACAGAGTAAAGCTTGAAGGAGAGCGGGTGAATGGGATTGCTGACAAGCGAGTGAAGCTTGAAGGAGAGCAAGTGAGTGGGATTGCTGACAACAGAGTGAAGCTTGAAGGAGAGCAAGTGAGTGGGATTGCTGTCAACAGAGTAAAGCTTGAAGGAGAGCGGGTGAATGGGATTGCTGACAAGCGAGTGAAGCTTGAAGGAGAGCAAGTGAGTGGGATTGCTGACAACAGAGTGAAGCTTGAAGGAGAGCGGGTGAATGGGATTGCTGACAACCGAGTGAAGCTTGAAGGAGAGCGGGTGAATGGGATTGCTGACAAGCCAGTGAAGCGTGAAGGAGAACGGGTGGATGGGATTGCTAACAAGCGAGTGAAGCTGGTATTATTTTTTTTATTATTATTTTTTTTTCTACTTTGGTGATGGTATGATTTGGGTGTGGTTGTGGTGATGTCTAGGTTATCAAGGTGTTTCAAAAATTTTATTTTTTTCTATTGTGGTGGTGGTGGTAGTTCTGGTAGCATCTGGGTGTGTTGGTAGTGGTGTCTCGGTGTGATAATGGTTCTAATTGCGTTTGAGACATATAAGTATGGGTTGGCTACGGTTTTCAATTTTTTTTCTTTCTCTTGTGATGTTTGGGTGTGGTGGTGTTGATTATGATGGTGTACAATTATCTGGCTATTTTTTTTAAAAAAAAATTAAATTTTCTTTTTCCCTTTTAATTTTTATATTGTTGTGATGGTTATGGTGATATAAGAATTATTATATATAAACTCTATTTATATGTATATAAGAGATGAAGAGGTTAGTTTGGTTTATTAAATTTAGTTATTATGTTAAATTTGTAATTTTATGATTTAAATGGAGCTGTTGACAAGTCAAAGGGTTTAAAGGTAATTTCATATCTTTTTAGAGGTCTGGAGGGGGTGTCAATGCACATTTTTTAAGTCTCAGGAGGTGTCAATGTTAAAAATGCCATTGATCGATTGTTGAGTGGCATTGACCAAAACTTGAGGGGTGTCATTATAATTTACCCTACCTCTTTTATGTTTAAAGTATATTTAAAAAAAAAATTATAGTAGAGCATAATTAAATAAAAGAATTGGATCCTAAAAATAGAACACAAAGACAAAAATAAATAGATGGGGATTGATTATTGTCTCCAAAGTCTTCATCGTCCACGACACTTGGAGACAATAATCAATCCCCAAAGTCTTCATGGTCCACGACACTTGTCAACAGTATGTTTGGCTTCAAAACTAGTTCAGAAGGCAAATTTATCGGGGCATGAGAGATTGTGTGCCAAGCAAGAAAATCTCCAATGTTCCAACTTGTACTTAAATCCAGCCTATTGGTCTCTCTCTCTTCCACCATTTTTAAGGATAAATTTGGTATTAATAAGATGACATTAGTCTCTCCTTCTGTTACCATCCATTTTCTCCTATTTTTGGGAAGGTAACGGTAATATCCTTAATTTTCAAAGGATTTAATTAGAATTTAATTATTTATTCTATTTCAATTTTAATTGATTATTTGATTACATGGCTAATTGTTTATATATTTATTTGATTTATTTATTTAAATCAATTATGTGTTTGATTGTGCGCTTTTAATTAATTGTTTGTCTGAGTGTTACGTATTTAGTTGTATTTAAATTATTAGGATTAAATAATTTATTTGTTTTATTTTATTTTTATTTTACTTTTTGAATGAGTTGGATTTAAATAGTAGTAATGAACCAACCATATAGGTTTCAAGGACTACTTGGATTGGGAAACTAAATAGGTAATGATATGACCCATGGATATTAGTGATATATATTGATATATATAAGGATATTATTATTATTATTAGTATTAATAGTAATATATGGATAGTCTGTAATATAATTATATATTAATACTTATATATATATATATATATATATATATATATACACGCGCATAACAGATGACTTATATATATTCTTTTCTAGTTTATTTTCGTTTTCTATTTTCCTTCTCCTTAAGGTATTGGAAGTAGGATTAGGGTAGGATTATGGAAGCCTCTATATATATATATATATATATATAATATAAGTCTGCTAGGGGTTTTATTATCACGTGAAAAGAAATAGAGGCAGAGAGAAACTGAGAGTTAGAGAGAGAAACTATGAAAGGAAGAGAGGGAGGAAGAAGGACGCCGGCCAAGGAAGGAAGGCCGAAATCCAAGGAGGGAGGAAAAAGGTTGTTTGTGGGCCAGGACTCGAGAAGCAGAGGGCAGGAAAGGCAACCCAATGGTCACCGAAAAACAAAGGACGAAGGAGGTTTAGGATTTCAATATGAACTCCTTAAAGCAATTTTTTCCTCTAACTCAATCTTGTCCTTTGACTACGTATTCAAAACATGCCTAGGTCAATTTCAGGATAATTAAACAATAGAAATGACCATGTTTGCATGCTAAAACAGATTAAAAACAGTATGTATGTTTATGTTTACGTATTAATTTGATTTTGAATCTAGATGTATAATTACCTGTTTTAATTCGATGTAATAATGCATAAAGGCTTTAAATAAATACTTGGGATCGTTTGGGACTTAATATAGCCATTAGGATCCTTAACGGAGGAGAATGAAGTAGGTAGAGGTTGCCGGAGCTAGAGAAGACAAAGGGCCGCATGAACCGGTCGACTGGTTTGAAGAACCCGTTAACCGATTTGCTTAAATCGGTCGACGTATGCTGAGAACCCGTCGACCTATTTGTGTAAGTCGATCAACGTTTGCAGGAAATCCGTTGACCGATTTAGGAACTCGTCGACTGGTTTGGGTCCAGTGTAGGGTTTTCATGGGATTTCGTGCCTAGGATTTGTTCGGGTCAATTTTAATGATTTTAAAAAGCTGAAATTGACTCAATAAAGGACTGGAATGCATAATATATAATATTAATATGCTAAATGTGATGATCCTGGTTTTTAGGCCAGTGCGTCAGTGATGAACCGAAAGGATGATCTGGTAACGGATCCGAAATACGAAAGTAAAAACAGAAAATAAGACTCTAAGAAGTCAAAGTGACCTTCCATGAGGTCGTGGAACTCAATGAGAATTAATGCGGAAGCAAAAGATCTAAAATATGACAAATAAGTTCCCAAGGGCAAAATTGTAACTTTTTGAAAATATGAACTCAATTTCCACCGAGTACACTGTTGGAAAGATAACGAAAAACTAATCAAGATGGACTTAAGAATCGCATGATTCGAAGTCCGGACGAAGGAGAAATGGCATGACGAAGAAAAATGAATACTTAAGGCAAAAAGGGTAAAATGGTAATTATTTAAGAAGATCTGGATGCAACCGAGCACACCGTTGGAAAGACAACAAAAAATTAGTCAAGTTAAAAAAAAAGTTCACTCGATTTGGAGTTCAAACGAGGGAGAAACGAGTGTTTGAAGTTGAGAAGTCGCGGCGGCCCGACGAAGGCCATGGCACGCCCCATGCGCGCCCGGCGCCCATGCCGGCGCCTAATGGCATGCACCATGACATGCTAGGAAGGATAAAATTTCAACCAGAACTGAGAGCCGAAACGAGGTCCGAAACAAATTTTTCTGGAAAAATATAAAAAAGAAACCCCCCTAAAATCGAGTTTTCTACCCGACAACATAGACGGAAACGAAAAAAACTCACTGTGAAATCGCCAAAATGCCCCTAGATCAGAACTGGACAAGAGGGCAAAAGTTGCTACAGTGACTATCCTGATCTGAGAGCAGAAACGGAATAGAAGATAAATTTTTTAGGAAAAACACGAAAAAGAAACCCCTCCCGAAATCAAATTTTCTACCCAGCAACAATGGAGAAAATGAAAAATACTTGCTGTAAAATGCTCAGAATGCCCTCCCAAGAAATCTGGTCTAGAGGCTTAAAAAGCTGCTAAAATGCAAAACTGAAAGTTGAATTTTGCGAGGGATTTCCGGCATCAAGACGATATTTTCTGGAAAAATACAAAAAAGAAACCCCTCTAAAATCACATTTTCTAAGTGACCATGCGAAGACCGGAATTTATTTCCCGAAAAAAAACTCCAGAATGCCCTAAAACCAGATTATGCAAGAAAATTTTAAAATGAGTCTATATGAGGCTCAATTTACAAAGGAAATGGTTTTTCTTGAAAATGATCATGCACACAAACGTAAATTACCTATTTGAACGTGCTACAATGGTCCATGGCTTAAAAATACCGCTGATGCAAAATCCAACCCCCCAATGGCCAAAAAGGTGAAATGAACACGAAATGGGGAAATTTGAAAATCAAAATTAACAAATGATTTCAAATTACCTTTTGACCCTTGGCTACACTTCAAACATGATTAATGAGACCCTATAAAAAAATAAAAATGGAATTCTCACACCTGATGCAACCATAGTGAGACAATGACTTGTAATTTTTCAATATTTTCATGATATTCCATGGAGTCAAAAGTCACCTAGAATACAAAATACATGTCATTGGCCTCTGGCCATATCTCATACATGTCAAATACATTACAAAAAGAATACTTATGTACACATTACATATATGGAATAAAAAATACAAGTTTTGATACATAAAGCTACAAAAAGGATTTCATGCCAACATTTTCATGAAAATGATACTTCAAGTCTACGAAACTTCCATGGCTTAGTGTGCATCCCAAAACAAAGTCCCTGTACCTGAAAAATGTCCCCACAACGTGAGTGAGTAACATAAAGCTATTCGTAAGAGATGAGCATGCATCGACCTAGCATTTTACAATTATATCACCTTAAGGTCAAACATGTTAAAGGGGCTCATGCCACCTAACATCTATGTTAAGATGAGACTCAGGGAGCATCCTAAACTACCTTATATCATTTCTAGCATAAATCACATCATCTATGCAATTTAAACAATATAGAAGCATGTTATACAAGGCAACAAGATATAGGTTCTCAAAAGTATCAACTTGCAATTTAAGATACGAAAACAACTAAAGTGGGTCATGCCACCTAGCGTCTATGTTTCAATGAGTCTAAGGAATCTTCCTAAGCTACATTTGAACATCAAAACACGAATCACAATATCGATGCAATTTAACTAACATTGGAACTTCCAATACAACGCATAAGCACGATTTTTCTAAGTTAACATCTTGAAACTCAAAACGGAAAATCAACTAAGGAACAACAAGTTACGATATCATCTAGTTATCAACTTGAAATGAAATGCAAAATCAAACAAAGTAGATACTTGGACGTCACGCCGGATCAGACCGACATCATAGTTACTTTAGGGTTACTAGCCCACGGGTAACCTCCCTATGTGCGCACTAGACTATATAGAGGGATAATCCCCCATACTAGAACCAAGTCCTAGCCGTAGCTAAACAACAACATCCCCAAGTTTCTAAAATCAACAAGTTGTGCAACAACGTATATATTAACATGTATATACAAGATATCAACTATCTACCAAACACAACCAAATTTGGAAACACATACAATACATGCTCTAAGTCTACAACTACTATGGCATGACAAATGTGGAATCTTCAGTGTGCGATTCGTTACACACTATAACAATATCATTCAATATTGAAAGCATAATCTCATGAATTTAAATATAACAACAATGTTATCAATTGCTCAAATATAACCAAGTGGATATACAACAACTCCAAGTCCATGATTTAAACATAGAAATAACTTCCAAGACGCAATTAAATCCATGGAGCAA